GCAGTTTACAGGCTCTAAGGTATGCTAACAGATGGTCGACAACTTTGAACCCGCTAACCCTTCCATTTGTTTGCACACAATGTATCGAACGCTGCATTACCGAGTAAAGTCGTTGTGGCAACTGAAAATGCTATCACAGCCTCCGTTTCGTGGATGTTTTACGTAAAGTATGTGACCTAACTCGTGAAACGTGGTGATGAAAACTGAGATAATCACGTCTAGGCAGCTAGAACACGTATATTTAACTTACTAGCGTAACCCGCTTTGGAAAATGGCCTTTATGCATACGGAATGCCTTTCTAAGTAATTTTGCTAGTCAAAATGTGTACAAATTCGAGTGGAAATCAGCATAACCTTATATTCGGTTAATTTCATGTGCTATAAGCGTATGCCATTAGATCTTCTTTTTGCAGCAGAACTAACAATATTCTTCAGGGAAGTGAAAAAGCCGACGAAACCGTACAATCACGACGTGAATAGGCACACCTATCCTATTAACACTCGACTCTTGTAAAAATGCATGCAAGGGTATTGAAAAAGAACACAAACCATCTGATTTCTTGATCTCGTACCGTACGGAGTTACGCTTTCGACCTCCTTGAAGGATAGCCGCGGTGCGATTTTAGAAATGATTGTGGGCTCGATGGTTGCGCAGACGATAACATGCGTATTTTCGTACTTCAGTTTTCGCGGTTTTATTAATGCCACATTTCAAGGTTGGAATTAAACCATGCAGTTATGCAATTTCTGTAATAGATTATGGTTGTTATGAGGGCTCCATATGGAAAGGGAGAGAAAAAAAGAAACTCGATTTGGAGAAAGTACGTGTATTTGGGAAACTTTTAGCTCAATTTAAAAAAATTGGCTGCTTATAAACCGAAATAACTCCCCATCCACGTGCGGGATTTGAAACACATAATTTGCCCAGAATGGTTATTAATAAAAAAAGCCCATGTGCGCTCTCCGGGAGACAAAATTAAAGACTGCAAGCACTGGAAGCTAGAAGAAAGGCGCCGTGCTGGCTGGAAGGATGCCCGGTTAAAATCCAGCGTCGTGCAGTGCGTTAAGCATATTTAAATTGTGTCCGTCGCTTATAAATACGGAGAAATCATGTGACATCGTCCCCAGGTAAGCTATTCAAAAATTCCGTGTTTTCGAGGATCCTTTGAAAATTATGTGCTCTTTTGAAATTAAAAATTTTGGTAGAGCTCAGTCTGAGATGTTGAGATAAAATGACTTTGGACATTTTTCCTTCTAACGCCAGCTGCTTTGAACAATTCATCATGTTAAGTCGATAGAAGTTTTATGAAGACCCGCTTTGCCAAAGACGGGAAGCCTCTATTTCAGCTGAACTTGAAATTCCGTCACCTGTAATTTACGAATTTGGAAAGCACCCCATTTGGAACTGTACGCCTCTTTCGAAACAGATGTAGTTTGCTTGCCGCACTCACAAGAAAACCGCGCGACTAACGTCTCCCAAACAAACAGAGGTCACTTGGCTTAAAACCGAGTTTTGCTGAATTACAACAGAGAATATTGGGGCCTGTGCTTTAAAACTCCCCGATTGAGTATATCCTCTGAAAATGAACATCCTTAGCATGTGACTGGATCATTGCCTTCCAGTGAAATAAACCTTAAAAGCGCGAATAGTAATCGCCTCTCGAGAACCTCCGATAATTTTACTCAAGATTCGTATGAATTGCAGAAAGGATTTCTAAAGTGGAACGCCGGATGATCTTATGTAAGCCGATTCCTTATAGGGCTTATCAGGCCTGCCGTCGCTGAAAGGTCATCCCGACTCTGTCTCCCATACGAGTCGTTTTTGCTGTCCTAAAGTCACGCACCGGTTGGACGGGTTTCCTAATCTGGGTCATACTGAGCAGAAATGCCTGACAGCACTTCTAGCCAGCAATCGCCCATGCGTTCGCACAGCCTTAGAGACGTGCAACCAGCAGCTTCTGCACCCTTAAGCGATGGTGACAGTATTAGTTATTTATCACGAACGAAATGCTTTACCTGATATGTGGCCTGGGACTTCCCTGTTGCGCCAGATCTAAGAAAAGGCCGCGCCTTCTGTAACTGCGCTTTGTTGCTCCGCCGAATATTCTATAGCTGAAACTGGAACGGGGGATGACTGTTGTGTCGACTAACGGGCCAAAAACACCTAGTTCAGTTTCTCAGTTGCATTTTCAGTGCAAGTTCCTCCCCGCCCGTCCCCACCAATGTTCACAACGGTCCGCCAGTGCTTTGGCTATGGTAAACCACGGCAACCACCTCGGTTGACAACGGGGAATCCCGGCTCAAATGTTAAAGCAGAAACAGACAGTATCAACTCAGGTGTTTATCAAAAAAATAATTGCACTTTTACAATGGAAGATGGTGGGGTGGTGTCACTGCTGCTGACGTATATCAGCAAATTAGAATACAGAGATTGGACATGCTTACAAAGACATACAGTCACGCAGATGTTGGGGATAAAAATGGCGGTGTCCGGGGGACTGGGCCGGGCCGGACCACCGTGTCATGTTGCACACACACACACACACACACACAACGAAAATAAAAATGAGATAGGTAACGCGGACACGCTGAGCAGAAAATACCTAAGCAGACAGGGAGAAAGTCGACTAGAGTGCCAAACAACAGGCGAGTGGGTAAGATCCGACGGAGTAGGGGTGCGACGGGAAGACATTAGAAAGACGCCTGGCATCAGGAGAGAGACCCTTATAAGTGACCAAAACAAGGAAACAACAGGATGACCGCGGTTTAGTAAATCTGCTTTGAGGGTGGAGGGATGAATCCCGAGGCAAAACGACAAACAGGCGCAACCCATTGAGGGTAAAACCGGGCGACAAATAGCATACAGACAATAGGAGGCGTAAAATGATTGGCTGTTGTCGAGGTCTCGAGTCCAGTATGCATATGCGACAGGGTTTAATGCATTTTGATTAAGTCAAAACATCGCGAAAGCAGGAAGAAAGAACAGTAGTTAAAGTGCCCATGCGTCGCACCATGAGAGACCGTGGAGGCGGGCTCGGGTGTTTTATAAACAAGAAAAATAAACAAGCAGATCTACTCTGATCTGGCAAATTGGTTCCGAAAGTGGTCAGGTATCGTTTCGCCAGCGACGGGACACTGGCTCCCAGAGGAAAACTGCCAAAAAGACACACAGCAGACTGATGTTTAGGACGATGGCGGAAACACTAGAAAAAGAGAGGAAAAAAGAAGTCACGTCCGGAAGGGCTGTAACGGCGTAATAAATCAAACCGCGGCCAAAACCCAGTCTGACTTATATATGTAACTGCTTGTCTTCCTCCCATTTGCAAACTATACGCCTCCAAAGACACGGGTTTTTCGTTTTCGGGTCAGGAAAACTCTGGCAATAATGTCTACCTCCCTGTTCCTGTCTAAAGATACTTAGGGGCAAGTAAATTGGCTCTTTGCCACCCGTGCCAGCTGTGTGTCCTCAAGGGAAGGCGTATTAACAGCGGACTTACCGGTTCTGAGTTACGGTTGCACCGGCGTTGAGGAAGCGAATGAGTATTTGGATGAGAGCTGTGATGAAAGCGAAAAAAGAGACGCCCAGGTCTGTGAGCGTATGCACGAAAAGTTGGCGCGCACGGGGTTGGTCGCGGCCAGGGCTGGCAAGCTGCTCCACAGACTTCTCCATGATGTTGAACTAAAATGTAACGCACAGGAAGGGACTACATGCCCGTAGAGGCGGCGAGTAAAAGCGTTAGAGCAGATTGGCAAGGCAGGAAAGGGATACAAAAAATTATTATTATTATATGATTCTATATTATATATATTATGTTATATATTAGTATGTTGTTATATGAAACCCTTATTATTAGTATTATGGGTTGGAAAACGAAAACCCAAAGCGTAGTGATTCTCTCAGCACTTCACTACAACCACTACCACCGTCACCAGGCCAGTACCATTCTGTGTGTCGGGGTGGCGGATGAGGATGTACACCTTCGGAGCCAGGAGCTACAGCAAACGATCCCTACAACAAGCCACATCAGGTAGCCATTGGCTTGGCTGAACCGGGTTTCTGACAGGAAGGAGAGCAATGGCCTGCGCCCTCAAGATGTACGTATCAAGAGGAGTGACTTTCTGTCCAACAATAACGACAACCACTCCTGAAAGAGGCGAAAGGTTAACTAAGCTACTGCAGATGGACCGCTACCCACCGGTCAACCCACCTTATTGTTAAGCGTTGTGAGGATGTCCTGGAGGTCACGAGTCTTAGTTGCCAGTTGGTACTCCAGCGGCTCCAGTGCCCGACGCTGCTCCTTCCGAATCGCCGCCATGTCCTGACGGAAGTTCTGACGCAGTTCCTCTGCGGAGACGTCCAATTGCTCGAGGCGCGAGATGGCATTCGTCAGTTGCTGCTTCTGCAATTCTTCGCCGGTTTTGATGTCGCGCTAGATAAAACCAACGCAATCAAGCATCAGTAGACGCCGGCTGCGCGAGTGCATCGACAAAGGCAAGAGGATACTACTTCCTTTGAAACGGAGAGGAAGGTAGTTATCGGGCAAAACAAGAAAGCCGCACAAGAAGGAGAGTAATACATCAGTCAGCACACAGACCAACTCATGCATAAAGACGACTAAGTTAGTCACTATGAGCTAGCCCGAAATATTGTTAAATGCAAACTCTGTCGAACAGACCGCTGTACAGACAGGGAAAGCTCAAAGCACAGGACTAGAACGGAATTAAAAACTGGGTTGCAGAGAGAAGACAGGGAACGAATCAACAAGACTTCACATCGGGAGGAATTCCGGTGACATCAACTAGGCAGCAAGCGAACTCAGTTACACGAAGTGTCTACAGTCCGGAAACTCGAGGCCGGATCAAGGCGGTGGGCTCGATTTGATGAGAAGTGAAATGAACGGATAAAACATCGACTGTGACCGCCACCCCGATTTTAGCATAATTATGAGCTGAATAACGATGACCAGCA